AGAAGACCACCACTATTGGCTGGGCAGCCCCACCAGTTTGGAGGAAGAAACAAAGGCCACCAGCAGCTGCCAGCCTACTAGCATAGGAGTCTAGGACCACAGCCACTGACATTGCCTGAGGGTTCACCGTCCCCAAAGAGGAGACCCTCTGCGCCCTTTGCTGCAGGGCCAAGGTGCAAAACAAGCCACCTCCTCTAAGGCCCTACATGCAGATCACCTGGGGTGAGCACCCAGCGGACAGCCCCAATCGGACCACTGCCTTTGCCTGGAGAAGCCTCTGCACAGACCCCCTCCTCCAGCACACCCTGACCATCCAGGGAAAGAACCACGGCTACTGACCACCAGCCTGCCCCACTCCAGAGCACAGCGCCTGGCCTGGGGGCTACTGAGCCACATGGGCCCCAGTTAAAGGGCTGACCCACTGACCATGAAGCAAAAGGGCCCTCCTGAGGGGCCCATGAGAGCCCAATGGGCCTGCAGGGCTGACTGATCCAGACCCCTCAACAATGAGCCAATAACAAAAGGCATAAACAGCATAAAGGAAAGATCAACATGGGCAAATCAATCCCCAATCAGAAAATCCAAGAGGAAGGACTAACAAACCATGTAAACCAATAGAGAGATTAAAGCAAGGTGGGCAGACATTCTAGATATTCAAAAGTCAATAGCTTTTCTATTAATACATAACAGCCACAACCAGCTAAAAAATGAGGCAAGAAGGCCGGGCACAGTGGCTCATGCCTATAATCCCAGAACCTGGGGAGCCCAAGGTGGGAGGATGGCTTGAGGCCAAGAATTCGAGACCATCCTGGGCAACATAACAAGACCTCATCTCTACAAAAAAATTGAAATTAGCCAGGCATGGTGGTGCATGCCTGTAGTCCCAGCTATTTGGGAGGCTAAAGTGGGAGGACCACTTGGGACCAGAAGTTTGAGGCTGCAGTGAGTTGTGATCATGCCACTGCACTCCAGCCAGAGTGATAGTGCGAGACCCTGTCTCTAAGAAAACAAACAAACAAACAACAATAACAACAAAAAAAAACCAGAAAGAAGAGAAAATGAGGCAAAGGAGGGAATAATCCCAGCGACAACAGCAACAGAATACCAACAAATAAACCTAACAAGAAATGTACCAAACATATATGAAAAGAGCAACAAAACCCTAGTGAAGGATATAAAAGTCCTTCTAAATAAATCAAAATAGCAGATGAGACAATATTAAAGATGTCTCTTCTCCTCCAAGATAAACCTACAGAACAATCCCAATCAAAATTCCCATCAGATGTTGGGATAAATTTGGCTTATTCTAAAGTTTATCTAGTCTTACTATAAGAAAAGTAAGAGAAAAAAATGGAAAAAGAAGAATTAAGAGGTAATGGTCCTTTAAGATAACAAAATATAATGAAAAGCCACAGTAACTTAAACAGTATACACTGGCACAAGCATAAACCAATAAATTAGAATGGAGAGACTGGAAACATAGAAACAACCCACAACACGGCGGCAACATAATCCATGATAAACATGCATCTCAAAACAGAAAAAGTGGTTTATTAATAGATTATGTTTGAAAATTGAATGTTCCTATAAAAAAATTTACATTTCCCACTCATATCATATCTAAAAATAAATTCTAGATGAATAAGAGACATAAAAATAAGAAAATATGAACTATCAAGTATTAGAAGAAAATACAGGAGGCTCTTTACAAACACATTTGAGTAGAGAAGCCCTTTCTCTAAGTAAGATACCAAAAAAAGCTTGATAGATTTAACAACATAAAAATTCCAAATTTTTGTATTGCCAAAGTCGAAGGACAAAAGACATCTGGGAGAAAGGTCTGTAATCCGTATAGCAAATGAGGAATAGCCCTGCTGCACTAAGATTGCCTATAAATCAACAAGGAAAAGCTGAATGAGTCAGGAGATAAATGGACAAGGATACAAGAAGAAAATTAAAAGAAGAAACTCAAATTGTTATTAAGCACATGAGAAGATGCTTGTCATTCACAATTTTAAAACTACAAAATGAAATAAGCTATCACTTAATAGCCAAGTGACAGAGTGAAATTACAAAGACCAATCATGTCCAGAGTGTCCTCAGGACCACGGCTGCCCTACACACCCAGCATCATCTAAAACGACCACCACCTCTCTGGAGAGCAACTGGGCAATATCTACCGACTCTCTAAATGCCCAACCATTCAGCACAGCAAGTCGACTTCTAGGAACCTATGCTACAAAAACATCCCCACGTATACGCAAGTATTTAGTGTATGAGACTCCACATTCCAGCATTATCCATGACTGTGAAAAATGGGAAAAACCCAAAAGTTCACTGTTGCTATTCACAACTGACAAGGAACAATGTCTAAGAGACATGGCAGGGGAGCATCTAATTGCAAATTTTATTTATAGTATGATCTCATTTTTAAAAATTTTTTTAAATATATATGTGTAAAATATAAGTAAACTATTTCCATACACAGAAAACAGGAGGAACCTCCACAAACTGTTAACTATGACAGTCTCTGTAGGGATTGAATGTGGGGCAGTGGTAAAGTTGGGGGGACGGGCCTTTCATTTTCTATATTATGTGTTTCTGAAAAGTTTGAATCTTTATAATGAGTGCATATTAATTTTATAAACAGAAAAAAATTTTAAAGGATCCTGGACCTACTGTATTAAAGAGGCCAGGGTCTTCCTCAACCCCAAATTCTATTATCAGGAAAATGGCTCTCTCCTCTTCCGGAGAGACAAGACAATTGCTAGAAGCAATTTTAAAAATTTTAAAAATAGAGATACCAAGCTGAGCTCAGTGGCTCACACTTGTAGTCCCAGATACTTGGGAGGATGAGGTGGAAAGAAAGCTTGAGCCCAGGAGTTCCAGGCAGGCCTAGGCAACACAGCGAGACCCTACCTAAAAACAAAAACAAAATACAGATGCCAGATCTATTTGTCTTAATTATTAGCCAGGAGGCAGGGGTTGGAGGTGAGGAGGCTGCTCCCTCAGACCCTGACCTACCCAAGCAGCCTCTGGGTTTTCAGACTTCGCAGTATTTGAGAATGTAACAGAATAGACAAGCACTTTAAAACTCATTACCAGAAGGTTCCCAAGGAATTTGCTTCCACGTATAGAAAATAATCAAGTCCATTTTTCCAAAAACTTGCTTCAAAGTCCAATTTGGGGGAATTGATGTAGATTGTTCCATTTTAAGTTCTTCAAGCAGAGAAAATCTAAAAATTCTTCCTTCCAGCTCAACAGAGCGAATCCGTGAATCTATTGCTTCTGCAAAAGGAGGACAAAGATCCTCCTGGGGCTGCAGAATTCGGCAGCTTTTCCTTGGACTCTTAGACCAGCCAGCAGCTCAGGACACCAGGCCAAGCTTCAAAAGGCAGCCACCGGCCATCTGACTCAAACGTGCCTGAGCAGCCCAGACGGCTGAGGAAGCAGGAGAGGCTTGGTTTCAATCTATTTGCCAAATCACCAGAAAAAATGAGGCACATTTAAAATAAATAATTGCACATGAGCCCAGGGTTCTGGTTCCCGGCCAGCCAGGTCAGTGGTCCTGCTGCTCAGCGGGGAGGGAAAGGGCAAGCAGAAAGGGAATGTCTCCCTGGGATAACCGTGATGGCGCCCACCAGAGTCATCAGCCTGTGTGTCACGAGAGGCCTCTGAAAGTCCCTACAGCCTTCCCCACGGGGTCTTGGTTTCCTCTCCAAACACTACCAGCTGGTCTTGGAGGATGGGCCATAGGGAGTGTGCGTGGTGCAGACCCCTGGGGTGGCTGGATGCTGCTTGCTGGATTCTGGTCAGGGGTGTGGCACCTGGGGTGGGGGGGAGGGAGGAAGAAGAGGAGCAGGAGGAAGAGGAAAAGGGGGAGGAGGGGGAGGAAGGCAAGGACGGAAGCCTCTGCCCTCTCACACTGTCCATGAGCAATAAAACCTTTCTGGAGGTCCAGTCTGAACCGCTAACATTTTGCCCAGCAATTCTACCTCTGGAAATTTATCATACGGAAGGGATCGTGAGTATCCGCAACAAAACAAAACAAAACAAAGCAAAAATACAGCGACACAGATATCTGATCACAGCACTGTTCATAGCAGGAAAACATTCTAAACAACTCCAATGTCCAACCCTGGAGGTCTAGCCCAGTGAATGACAGTATCATACACACTCATGCCGCTGGGTGTGGAAGAAAACGTCCGCGACCATGGGAAGCGGCTCTTCATAAGGCGTCCAGGAGAAAGCGCCTTGGCAGCTGTGTGTGCCCAAGCACAGGGCAGGAAACGAGGTGGACGACAGGTGGTCCTGGCGGGCAGAGTTGGGTATTTCAAAGTTTCTTCTTTTTGCTTTTTGCTATCTCTATTTTCTAACACAATGAATTTATACATAATAACTAAAAATAATGTTTTAAAAATAAAAGTGTTCTCTCTTGCCAAAAAATAAACACTTTAATGCTAAACTGCTGAGCGGAGGCATACGAAATTGCCTATACTTGATCACTTTTGACACACAGAAATAACAGTTTCACATGGTTCAAATTCATTTTGTCACAAAATCCGGCTGTGACTTGGCCAGGGTCCCCGGCAGCATAGGTCTTTGCCTTCCAAGAGGCGTCCCCTTCCCTCCCCCACCCAACCACACAGCAGTGCCTGTCCCACACCAAGCGCCTCCCCCGCCAGGTCCTGCCTCCTTCATGACTTGCAAGGTGAGTGTCATCGTTGCTACAAGCCAGGCTGCCAGGGTCCCAGACAGGGTCCCCTGTCCTACTCCACCAAACCACAGCCGTCCCTGCCGTCTCCATGTTACAACGAACGGGGCCTGTGCCCATGTACAGGACAACGGGTCCTCCCTCCCTGGTGGGGCTCACTCTTTCTCACTTCGTCCTGTGCCTCTGCCAAAAATATAAGAGGTGACACTGAAATAAGTTAAGGAAGCTAAAGTGATCTGAAGCCCAGGTCATCTCAGCTGCCAGGCCTGTTTTTCCATGTCCCAAGCAGGCCACCCTTTCTGCAAGAACAAAGCGGATGGACCAGCTGCTCAGCTGCGGCCTTGGCCATAAATCCTCAGGCACCAGCCTGGTCCACGCAGATGCTCGGCTCTCTCCAGCCTCCTCGCTGGACCATTAACTGTACACACATCGGCTTCGGTCAACATTGCCTTTTGTGACCTCTGGTCACTAATTGTAAGTGACCCCAGGGGCTGATAAAGGGAGGGCAGCATCTCAGAACATATTTTCCTCTTCTGGTAGACTTAAGAGGGAAGCAGAGGCCAGGGACGCTGCTGTCCAGAGTCATCAGACCGGTGAAACCTGGCCAGAGCCCCCACGAGTGGCCTGGGCCACGGGATGCCAGCAGAATGGATCCTGACTTTCTGTTTTTAAAATCATCCATGCTCATGTCACTGGGCTCTCTCTCCTGGGGATGGACCCCTGGGCCCCGGCAGACTGTATCTGAGAAACTGGTTATCTTCAAGCACCCAGAAACTTGGGCATAAAAAGGCATATTCTAAATATTAACCCGAGCTTGCCCCCGGTTTTTGTGGGGACAGTAAATGGGCCAAGAAAACTGAGGGTCCTGAGCCAAATGAGGGGGAACCGTGCAGCTTGGAGCCAAGGCTCCACCACCAGGGGACACAGGGGCGATGGGGCTCAACCTGCCCTCTGACTGCTTTTGAATAGATTTTGTTTTCCAGAGCAGTTTTAGACTTGCAGAAAAACTGAGCAGATAGTACGGAGATTCCATACACCAACAGCCATCTTCCTCCACTGTTAACACCTTACATTACTGCCGGGCCCTTATCACAATTAATGAACCAACATCCATCCATTAATGTTCCGTGGTGTTCATACTGTATTCAGATTGCCTTGGTTTTTACTTTTTGGTTTTTTTTGTTTTTTTTTTTTACCTTTTTCTGTTCCAGTATCCCATCCAGGTCACACATCACATTTAGTTGTTGTGTCTCCTCTTGGCTGTGACAGTTTTTCAGACTTGCCTTATTTTTGATGACCTTGACATTTTTGAAGAGTATTTTGTAGACCGTCCCTGCGTAGGGATTTGTCTGATGTTCTTCTCATGATTCCACAGAGGTTGTGATTTGTGGGGGAAGGCCACAGAAGTGAAGCACCTTCCCCTCGCAAAACAGCAGGGGCACGTGCCACCGGCATGCCTGGCTGCTGGCGTTGGCCTTGACCCCCAGGCTGAGCAGTGTCCGTGGGGTTTCTCCACCGTGACGCTGTCGTTTCCCATTTCCACACTGGGCTCTTCGGAAGAAGGTGGCCGGGATGGCTGCCCACTCTCGCCCTCTGGCCTCCATCAGCCCCCACCCCTGTCAGCGATGACCACTGAACGCAGGCCTGAATCCTCCCTCCTGCTGCCACACCTTCCTCGGTCCCCATCTGGCCCTTCATTCTTATCCCCACCAGCACCTACGCGATCAAAGCTCGCTGAGGGCAGGGTCTAGTCCTCCCCACCCTGGTTTTTGCACGTGTGCCAGAGCCCAGTGTGATGCTCTTTGCAGCGCAAACACTGCAATGCTTGCTCCTGAGCTGTCCCAATCTCCCCAGGGTGGCCAGGCAGCAGCGAGCAGTCCACCGGCCAACACATGTAGGGCAAGTCTCTGGCCAGCGTCCGGCTCCTTCATTAATTATCCAGAGCAAACACTGCTCCTGGAGCCAAGCAGACAGAGGAATGGATGGCGCAGGGGGAGGTGGGGAGGGGCTACATCCTAGACCACTCAACCCTCCCCACCGCTTCAATGAACAAAGCCTCCCCACCCAAGGACGCAGGACATGCAGCTGGAAAGCACCCCTGGGGCTCGGAGAATTGACGTGTCTAGACTTCCAAACTACACCACCACATATGTAAAACCCGTTCCCCAAATCTCAACTGTGGTTAAGGCAACAACAGGCCCCTAAGAAGTTCAGGTGCTCTCCATGGCACAAATACCAGCTAGGAGACCTTGGGGAGAGCCTGACTGAGCCACAGCGCCCCACTGCATCAGGCTGGCCCCCACTGGGCCCAGGAGGTAAAGGCCAGGGCTCAGCTAGCTCCCCAAACCTGGGGGACAGCAACCCCAGGCTCTGGCCATCCAGGCCCACTCCTGGACGTTCTGTCTGATCCTCAGGCCACCCTGATGACGCCATCGTGCTGCCCGGGCACCAGGACAGGGCCGAGAGTGCACCTGGTCTAGAGCTGGAGACAGGAATCTCTGAAGTCACAGACTGACTGTGTCACACATCCTCAGCCTGTTTCACTCATATCCCTGGGAACAACCGCAGAAAAGACCACTGGAGCAGGGCTGTGCTTTGTAGTCTAGTCTCTCTGAAATGAGGTGGGTGCATGAGCTGATAAGACATCCTTTGACCACTTTTCTGGAGCAACTACCAAGTTCCAGGCACTGTGCTGGGTACTGGGATCCAGGGGCAGCCCTGGCCTGGGGCAGGGCATGTATGTGGGGGAAGGGTGTGTTGTAAAATACAATTTATAATACACCCTACAAAGAGGCCTTCGGGGACAGGCAAGGGAGCACCTGTCTCTCTGCCAGGTGGCCAGTCAGCTCCCAGGACAGCAACACACAGGACGTCCCTGCAGGAGAAGACGCATGCAGACGCATGCACAGGACACCTGGACAGGGAAGGCTGCCCGGGCTAAAGGGTTCAAAACACCGGCTCAAAGAACACTCAGACTCTCATCCTCACATTTATAGAAGCAGCCCCAGCAACGGAGGGCACAGCAAAATTATCACATTTACAAATGTCACCAAACACACCACAGTAGCAAAATGCCAAGGTGACAGGGAGAGATTCAGGACAGCTCCCCTGGCTGGAAAGAAGATGACAAACCACAGGGGAGCTTCAGTTTGTGTATATGTGATGTGTCACCGAGTGTAAAGTGACCCTGAGTGCACTGCCAGGGCAGTGGGCACTGGCCTCTGTCACATGGTACACACCAGAGGGACCTGAGAAGCCACAAGGGACATTTCCTAAAAATGTACCCAATATCACCATCCCCAAGAAGCTGCCCCACAATGCCCAGCATCAGCAACTGCGCCCACTCCCACACCAAGCCACGCTGCCCGGCCATGCAGCTGTGACGCAGCTGGAGGAGACCGGGTCCAGCTGGGAAAGGCCAGGGGCAGGAGCAGGAGGACCTCCAGGTCAGGGGTCAAGGGCTTGTACAAAAGCTGGCTCTGCTTCTGCCACAGTGACCTCAGCGGTCCTCCTGTGAGGCTCCGTCTCCTCATCTAGAAAGGGACTAACACAACACCAAGCACCCTCGCTCTGGGGCTCCTCGTCCCCCAGGTGTGTGCCTCACCTCCTGCTCTCCTGACCGCCACCCTGCCTCCTCCCCTCCTCTCCCTACACACTCTCCCATGCTTTACACAACATCACAAACCATCTGGGGGAAAGGACTGGGTGTTTTCCCCAGTATATCACAGATCTCTACTTTTGCAAAATAAAATAAGTTGAATTACTACCAAAATGAAACTTAAAAAAAAAAAAAAAACAGACATTCCTCAACACACAGAAGTGACCATGAAGGTCTCTAAATGCTCACTCTGTGTTTCTACAGCCTTTTGCCCTGTGAATTGGGGACCGCCCGCGGAGGGCACAGGTGCAGGGACACGCCACCTCCAGCCCAAAGTCTCCTGGTGCCTCCAAGGAGGCTGAGGAGGCAGCGAGCTCACAATCGCAGGTGAGTTGCTCCGAGCAGTGCCCGGGCACACACGACGCCCTGAGAATGAATACCAACGCCTCCAACAGGCTGCAATGCAGAACAGCTTCCACAAAGGTTTCGATGAAGCCACGGCCACAGCTGTACTCACTCACAAACTGTGTGGCCCATGAAGCCAAGGTGGTCACAACGTCAACAGTCGCAGGACAAAGAGTCACTGTCCTCTGCAGTGAGCAACACGTCCTGGTGGGCTCCCGGCCAGAACGAGACCTCTGGGGGCAGCAGGAGGGGCCGGAGCAGGGACCACGGGGATGAGGAGGAGCTCAGGGGTGGAAGAGGCAGGGTAGGTGGCCACAGAGTGACGTAGGCAAAGGGGAATGGGCACCTCTGGGGGCCTCAGGGTGACAGGCCCTTGCCCAGAGAGGCACTTAGGTGGGTGGCGCCACAGAACCTCCACCCATGATTTCTGGGCTGCGAGAACGTGGGACTGACCCACAGGAGTTGTCAGACGCAGCACTTCCCTCCAACTGCTCTTCTTAAAGCTCCGGTTTCCCACTCAACTGAAACCCTGTAACACAGGACACTTTAACACTTGGGTTATTTGTGTCCGGCTTTCTTTAAGAGCACAGCTCCTTTTATCTGCAGGAAAAAAAACTCATTTCATCTAGAAAACTTATCCATACCAATTAAATCTGTATAGATCTTTGCATCCTACCTGGTTTTACATATCCTGATCTCACTTAGAAAATATGGTTTGCATCTAAATATTAATAAGCATTCGTTGTAATGGCAAAATCTAATTGTTTCACATTAAATGTAATCTTGATTTTGATAGTAGTGTTCCAGCAGTAAAATAAGCCATGAGTCATCCAATTCAAAGTTCTCCTTGAAAGGTCCATGATGATGTACTGCTTTTTAAAAACTTTTTATTGAAATATATGCACAGCAAAGTTCCATGTCATAAATGGAGCCAACCCATGCAAACAAACACCCAGATCAAGTAATAGGACGTTACCAGCACTCCCAGAGGCTCTGCTTCCCTGAGTGCCTCCTCTAATGACCGTCTTCCAAGGGCAACCTGACTTCCAACACCATGTATGACCGCTGCCTGTCGACCTTCATATAAACGGAATCACGCAGTACAGACTGTAGTAACTGAGTTTTTTGCTCAACAGTATGCAGCAAGGCCCATCCACACAGTTGCACACACTTGCGGAGTGTTCATTGTCAGTCTGCTGCACTGTATTCGTGCGGGAGGAACCCTCCGCGTGCTGGTCCGTCCTGCTGCGGCGGAAGCCATGGGCTTGTTCGCACCTTTGGCAATGACCATCACACTGCTCTGGACACTCTCGTGTGTGCCTTGATGGCTGTATATCGGTTTCCTGCGGCAGCTGTAATAGAGACACCACAAAACCAGGTATCTCAAAATGCACACCTGTTTCTCACAGTTCTAGAGGCTAGAAGTCTGAAGCAGTTTCACTGGGCTGAAATCAAAGCAGCAGCGGGGCCACGCTCCCTCCAGAGGCGCTAGGGGAGGACCCGTTATTCACATCGTCCAGTTTCTCGAGGCTGCTGGCGTTCTGAGAGCTGTGGCTGTGTCACTCCAGTCTCCGCCTCCGTGGTCACACTGCCTCCTCTTCCACGAGTCAATCCTCCCTATGCCTCTGTCTAATAAAGACCCTTGCCATGGCATTTAGGGCCCTCCCAGATAATCCAGGATGATCCCTGCCTTTCAAAAGCCTTGATCAGGTCTGCAAAAACTTTACCACATAAGGCAAAATTCATGGGTTCCAAGTTCCATTTGATGAGGACTTGATATCATTTAGGGGCCACTAGTGCCCACACGAACACTGCATTCAGTTTCATTCAGATTGGGATTGCTGGTCATAGGGTATTTGTGCACTTAACTTTAGTCAGTACTACAAAACAGCTTCCCAAAGCAGCTGTAGGAGTTTACACCCTGATCGGT